TTTTTTTTTCAGAATTCAGATTTAAATAAAAGCATGGGTTTATAAAGGAACAGATTCCACGCTCCATTAACTTCCCCCGGTATATCCTAATTAACCTTTCCTTCTTCATCGCAACAAGTAATGTTTTTGCTTTTCATTTTTTATTCTTTTTGTCTTCCTAAAAGCCTTCTATGTTTAGGTCTAAAAGGATAATAAAGAGAAAGCTTTAAAAAAAGAATCCTTTCTGAGTTTTGGGCGCTAATTGGCACCAATCTAACGAATCATCCAATGCTCCCTGTCATGCATCTACTACTCACGTGAGGACTGACAGGAATAGGAATATGAAAAGAAAAAAAAAAGGAAATATCGTGTGGTATTGAGAGAAAGTCCCCCGTGATTTTAGAGGGTGACGTGCAGGGAAATAGGGATGACTCACTCAGGTAAAAAGGGGGGATCTTTTTTGAGAAATAGCTCCTAACATAATTACGAAAAGAGTGAAACCACATTACGAAAACAGTGTATATAGATATCTTAACAGAATAAGAGTGTTCTTTTTTAAAAAATAAAATGATGCTTTTAACAAAAAAAATCGACTTTTTTTAAAAATTAGATAGTATTAATATTAATTTTGTGGAAAAATAAAGAGAGTAAAATAAATAATTATTTGAGAAGTAAATTCCAACATAATTAAGAAAAGAGTGCAAGATTTAACGAAAACTGTGTATATTGATATCTTTACAGAATAAAACTTTTTATTTTAAATAAAATTATACTTTTACCAAAAAAACTTTTACCTTTTTTTTAAAAATATTATAATTTTAACATAAGTTTTCGTAAAAATAATGAAAATAAAATAAATAATAGAATAGCACTGGGCTCAATATTATTATTGAAATTTTATTGCAGAATACAAGAAAATATGTTCAAAAATTAATTTTAAGCAGCTGTGTAATTTTAGTAGCACAATGTTTCTTTTTAATTGTTTTATAATCGGAGTTTAACAGCCGACCCAATTCCGAGTTTACCATTTGTAGAATTATAACACTTAAAATAACGGTTTGGACAAATCGATCAGAATATAGTAAATAATATCTAAAGGCACACCAAAAAGCTCCGTCATTTATAATGAATGCCAAGTTATGATTTAGGTAAAATTAACTATAAAATATGGTTTTAAAATATGTGATAAAACTTATTAAATGTTGTAAAATTGAATAATTTTTTTCTTGATACCTCTGAGCATGGGATGAAAACCATTTATTCAATTAAATTAACATTTCACTTTTGTATTTTTTACTAAATGTGTATTTTTTAAAAAATACTGTAATTTTAAAAACCAGTATTTCCGTTAAACCGTTATAATATAAACAGAAAAATTACCAAATGAATAATTTAAGTACCGAATATTTTGTTGTAGTTGTTTTATTAGCAGAATTATGATTTTCTTACCAGAAATGTCATTATCATACAGTATGGTAATTTTACCAGATTTTTTTCTGTGTGATGTGCGTTAAACTATAGAATTCTCAGTAACCTCAATATGGTTCTCTATTACCCCTAATTATCGAACTTCTTTAACTTGATTACACTACAGGCTCAGCTTGAATTAATGTAAGGTATAATATATAGCAGCAAATTTTCACCTTACTATGGTTCAAGGTATCGTTATTACGAAAGATTTTTCTTTCTATTTCTTTGTTGGCAGCTTTACGTTTTGTGTCTCAAATCTCTTCTTTCCTCCTTCACGTCTGGTGTGTCTTGAGAATGGGCGCCTATTTTAAAGCGATTTCCCACCTTTTCATCTTCGAAGCAAATGCAATTTTTACATTATAAAGTATACAAATAATATGATTCCAAATTTCCTGAGAGTGTATTGGACTTAAAATTCTCAAACTTATTGAGTAATAACAAACCAACTTTGACACAAAATAAATGCTCTAAGTTGTGTTGCCTTTGCAGGTTACAGGAACGCATAAAATTTATATTTCGGAATAAAAATACTGAGAAAAGCGTGGAGAAAACATGTGAAAATATGAAAAATATTTATAGATACGTGGGAATATGAAACAATATATGTCAAAAAATATACAACCAGAAAAAAAAACAAATATAAAGAAATCAAAAAATGGGGAAGCAACACATGAATAAGGAAAGTAAAAGCAACACATAAATAATGAGGAATCACTAATTAATATAAAAACTACAAACAATACAAAAAAAATGTAAGGCATATGAAAATTATGAAGTAATTCATGCTAATACATGCCAAAAAAACATGTAATATTAAAAAAAAGTGTAGAAACTTTGTTTAAAGGAAACTTAAAATTTTTGCTTCAGTTTCATGAATAAGTATCACTAATCATCTAAATTATTTATTTTAGAAGTCGTTGCGAGCGCAATTTTGTTTGACAACAAACATTCCTCCTAAGTAAAGTATTATTTAACAGAGGCCTAAGACATTAGAGAGATTTTGCATTCCTCTCCCTCGGTATTACCTCTTTCCGCTAATTAAATTCACACTGCGCGTGATCCACCCCGCAAATATATTTTTAATGCTTGATAATTGCTGATTTAGTTAATCAATACTAAAAAGCTTTGCTGCTTTTAGTTCTCAAACCAGACTTTCTATTTTCAAATATTGCGAGCAGTTCTAGTTCCTTTTTATTCAATTGACGACCCCCGAGCAATGGTAAAGCCTACCATATAGGTAACAGCGGTTATTTGGTAATAAAAATACAAATCAGACCCCTCTGTGACGTCATTTCGGGTGATTTCTTTACATAATGTCTGCATAATATTTCCCCCGAGTCGTACGGAAAGGGTAAAGAATTGAGGTGACTCTTTATCTAATCCAACCCCGATGATTTGAATACTGGGCTCAATTTTATTTTAAGTGCTTTCATCGAGTACTCGATTTTATGACTACATCGAAACCTCATTTTTCTAATTCTACTCCATGGCTTCCTTTTCTTCTACATAAAAGAAAATTGAGACTATTTTATGTAAAAACTTCTTCACATTTGAATTGAGGTCATTTTTATTAGCATGACTTTCTTTTTAAAGCCTCGTTTTCATGTAGCTATTTTGATTGAAGTTTCGAAATTTAATGTCCCGGATATGGCTTACATTACAGAAGCCTTTAACATAATCTACAATTAAATTCATATCTTAAGCAACTATTACTTTCAAGATGAAAAATAAAACTTTGCGAAGGAAGCTAATTATTGGGGTAATTTATTAAATTATCTAAAATTAATTTTGAAAGTTTGGGCATGTTTAATCATTATTTTATTCATTACCCACAATATTTTGATAAGGATGACGGTCATAATTTGAAGATAATAATTTGAGGATATTAATAATTCGTGATTATACATAACCTTAATTCTCTCTTTTTACAATGAGTTTTAATATGTACTTTAAAAATATTCTTAAAAATCATACATTTATTCCCGCTATTCTACAATTAAAAAACCATTAAATGTTCTAGTAAACGAATTCCCTTACTCACAATCTTTATTTATAACAGGAAATTAAATAAATCATTGTTTAAATTGATTTAATTTATAATTAAAATGCCACGATAAAATTTTTAGGAAGTTAAATTAAGGTAAATAATTAGTAGTTAATTTAAATTGATTGGGACTTAATTAAGTTAATTTTTGGCTACATTTATTAATGTTAACGATAAACTCTCTTTGTAAAGAGGCAGAAACATACTCCTTACTTAAGAAAGAAATTTAGACAAAAATTAAGACAAAACCTCGCATTTGACAACTCATTGTCAAATATGTTATGGTAAGATACATACCTATATAAGGCTTATACGCCAGATATTCTTTTCATTTTCCCATAGAAATAAAAACTATCAATTTTATTCAAAATTTTCTCCTCACTGAACGAAGTGAAAAATTGTGGTAAAATTACCGTATTGTTTTGTAATGACATTTCTGACAAACAAAACCTATAATTCTGATAATGAAACCAAACTATGTGGTATTTAAATAATCCATATTGGTAATTTTTCCGTTCATATGGTAACAGTTTATTGAACATACTGGTTTTCAAAATTATAGTTCTTATTACCACACATTTAGTAAAACTACGAAGCTTAAAAGTAAAATTAACTAAATGAAAGGTTTTTTTATGCCATGTCCAAAGGTATCCTGGATACCATGTTCAAGATATTACCAAATTTTACCCTCCTATTATAAAGCCACATTTTATTTTCCTTTTTACCAAATTAATTGCCCAGGCCCTTTATAAATTACAGTGCTTTTTGGTTCACAGTTTTGGTCTACAGTTCCTATAGTTTCGACCATGCTGATTTTAACAGTATAAAAAATGTAGGAGGGTTATGTGTTTAATAATTTTATAATATTTTTGTATTTTATTCTATGAATGATAAATTTATGCCTATTACACTTATTATCAATCGAATTTTGCAGTTTTGTGCAAACTGCGGAGCATAAGTGTTCGCCATAGGAAATAAGAAAAATTATGTTGACTTGAATTATTATGGAAGCTGCTGCTTGTTAGATTTTTATTAATTGAAATAGCATTCAACAAACTATTTTCTGTCTAAGTTCTATAGAAAGCAATTATAATCAGGCATTTATTTTCATCAGAAATCATGACTCATGTGTATTAAAATTGAATACTTTGTTTTCAGTTAAAAGAAGAAAAAAAACGTAATATTTCCTCTACTTTCTGAGTCTGTTTTTATTATTATTTATTCTTCTTATTTATCATTTTCCGATTTGTTCACCACCAACAATTCAAGAATTTTACACAAAGAAATGCATTTTTTTAAATATTGGCATTTTTATTTTCCAGACACAAATTAAATAGATTTGCGTACAGTCCCATGATTTGAAAACTGTTCATTTAAATTTACTAATAAATAATTTCAATCAATACATAATTATAAATGAATTCATCATTTCATTCTCTTTTTTCCGATAAAATGTTGCTTACAAGTTTATAACATGTTAAACTAATTATTTAACCGTCTTTTGCAGTTGTATCAGGATTGAGGTTAGCGAGACTTGATGTACCAGCGGCAGTTGTACGAGGTGAAGCAGCATGGCTAAATTGCACCTATAACTTGGAAAATGACGAGCTTTACTCAGTTAAATGGTACAAAAACAACGTTGAGTTTTATAGGTTTTTACCAAGTGATAGACCTCCAGGACAAAAATATGATTTGCAAGGCGTCTATGTCGACGTAAGTATAGTTTTTATTAATCACGAAAACTTTCACGAACGAGCACTTATAAAAATGTATGCGCGTAATGATTATTACTCTTTTTTTTTCCCTTTTTTCTTCTTTTTTTGGTACTTTTCCCTTAACCGAGCACATGCGAAAAGTCGCCAAAAGATGTAGATCTCCACCAACTCTTTTTCCTTATTTTAATTTTTTTTAAATTTTTAAACTGATAAAATTTCATTTTTTTAACCAAATGAAACATAAAATTAAAATAATAAAAAAATTAGACAAGTTTCAAAAAAATTGTAGAATCTCCTTGCGCCTGGCTAACCGAAAAAGTAGGGGAGAGTGGGGTCAATTGTAACAGGGTACGATTGTGACAGAGCAAAAATTTCGAGTGTCGGGTTCGGGATTTGGTTCCTAGGTGGCGCACAAGGTGTATTTAATAAATCTACATGTACACCCCTGCTGATAGTTTAAATATGCACTAATTAATATTAAATTGCACTATGGGGGCCTGCTAATGTGTTTTTCTTGCTTTTTCCCTCAGGCTTTCTGCGGAGGTTAATGAAGTTAGCTGTTTGTGCATGTTGCCCTTGGTCTTTTTTTAGTCAGTGATATTGATCTGGTCATCGGCCCTCTTAAGTCACGTGGTCACATCCCATTTAATTTGTGCTTGATTCGCTGTCAATAATTATTGTTAATGCTGTCCATCAGCCATAAATAAAGGAAATCAGAAATAAACTCATCATTTTGGATAAAAGCAACTTCCTTCTTTGATTTCCGATTCAATGAATAGATATAATGTGTATTTTTTCTCTTTCCTGTTGCGATTAACATTTTTTAAGAAGTAAAGTAGAACCATTGAAGTAAACCATANGACTGTCAAAAATTGTTAATAACTAATATAATAACATTTAAAATAAGGTATTAATTTTTTTCAAATATTTAAGCAAATTGTGTGCTTAAATATTAAATTCAAATATTTATGCATACTACATTTGTATGTAACTACCATATCTAACAAACCACTGGAAACAAAGTTTTTAAAAATTTATGTTCAGGGTGTTATAGCTTCAAAAAGTCACGTAGTTGCTTAGTTGCAAAAAACATTTTATCGAATAGAATTTACGTCTTGTTACAGAATTAATTGATGAAGATTGAATTGAACTTTAGAAAAAAGATACTTTTTTTAAAAATAAGACCTGTGTAAGAAATGCCGAACTTGCTTGTGATACTTAATTGGTGCTTGTGGTGCTTAATCAATTATAGAAAATAAAACTGGTATTTGTGGTAATAGGTGGTGTGAAGATTAAAATAAATACCTAATACACAAATAAAGGGACCAAAAGTAGGGTAATAGGTCAAGTGCAGAAAAAAGTTATGTTTTTGGTCAGAATAACCGAGAAGGATAACAAATTGCAAAAAAAAATCTAATCAAGACGCTTGGTCGGAATTACTGAGAAAGGGAAAGTCGATATGACTTTGTTTGGAAAAAAGTAAAACTCAGTTAATTAATGAAATCATTTAGATTTTTCATACAGAACAAAAAAATAAAATCATGAAATTTTTTTAAATTAAAGAGAAGTAATGGTAACGTGGTTTCTTTTTCGTCGAAATTCATGAAACATAACCATTATGTCATCCCCTTAGATTTGGAAAAATATAACTCAAGCAGTAAAAAGCCTAATCTCGATTTAAAACTACTTAATTATTTTATTGCTAAAAATAAATATGTGTGCGTAGGATATAATTGGAATCATTGGATAAATCAATTCAGATTAAATCCTAAGAGTGAGTCTAAAAGTTTTATAAATAACCAGCTGACTACCATTTTCTCGAACAGATTTTAAAAAAAGTAAATAATTAATATTGTCACATAATATAGTGACATAATTAATTATGTCGCTACCTTAGATTTGGAACGATATAACTTAAACAGTAAAAACCTTAATCTCGATTTAAAACTGCTTAATTATTTTATTGCTAGAACTAAATATGTGTGTATGGGATATGATTGGAATATTTGGATAAATTAATTCAGATTAAATACTAGGTGTGAGTCTGAAAGTCTTATAAATAACTAGCTAATTACCATTTTCGCAATCGGATTTTTAAAAAAAAGTAAATAATTAATATTGTCACATAATCTGGTGACATAATTAATTATGTCACTACTTTAGATTTGAAACGATATAACTCAAACATTAAAAACCCAAATCTCGATTTAAAACTGCTGAATTATTTTATTGCAAGAAATAAATATGTGTGTATAGGATATAATTGGAATCATTGGATAAATTAATTCAGATTAAATCCTAAGTGTGGAATCATTGAATAAATTAATTCAGATTAAATCCTAAGTGTGAGTCTAAAAGTTTTATAAATAACTAGCTGACTAACCATTTTCTCGAACTGATTTCAAAAAAAGTAAATAATTAATAAATCAGTATTAAACAACAATACGAAATCACGCACAAAACTGAAAATCGTGTACCGACGCAATTAATGAAGCCAAAGTAATTCCAGTCTTTCATTTTATTTTTTAATCATTATTATTTGTGAGTTTTCCCATTGAATTAATGTTATTAGATTCAGCAAAACACAGTTCTAAAAATTCAACTCATCAAAATTAGATGTGGCTATACGCAGAGAAAAAACTCTAGTAAAATTACCGTTCTGTTTGGTAATGACATTTCTAATAATAATAAATAAAAAACGAAACATAATTCTGGTTAATAAAAACAAATGTACAGCATTTAAGCGATTCAGTTGGTATTTTTTTCCGTTCGTATGGCAACAATTCACCGAAACTTCTGGTTTTCATAATTATAGTTTTAGATCTTTCTCGGGGTAACAATTTACCACAAAAAAAATACATTAAAACTGGAGAGTAATAACTTGCCTACTTTAGTTTTTTTTATTTTAAAACCTGTGTTTTCGTTTAATTTCTTTAAAGAAAAGGGAAAAAAATTAGTATTGTTCAATTAAATTCGAATTCATTGATTTTTGTTCATTGACTTCCAACAAGTAATAACAGGTGTGGTAATAATTACGAAACTGAAAAGTAAATTTAATAGAATAAATAGAATCATGATAAAATTACCAAATTTTACCTCACGGTAAAATTTGGCTAAATCAATTTTACCTCATGGTAAAAAAAAACATATATATTGCTAAAGAAAATACATTTTATTGATAATTTTACCAAAATCATTATCAAAGAACTTCGGTAAAAATTACCAAAATTTTAGTGTTTTCCTAGAGCCAGAAACATGGTGCATTTTACTGTATTCTTGAAGTTGTTACCATACTTTTTTCTCAGTGTACTCAGTATCATTTGGAACTAAAACAAGTGTTATCAATCAAGAACAAATCAAGATTGTCAAAATTTACCACAATTAAGCAATTTTCTCCATTAATTATGTTCTTCATACACAACTTAACTTTTTATTTCAAGTATCGTTGTTTTTAGATTACTTAATTTAATTGAAAAGCGTGAAAAAAGCGTAACTATTAGCAAAAGAAGCATAACTGTTAAAATGGTAACTTGTGTAAAAGAGTAACTATTAGCAAAATAAACACGTATTATTCACACGGTATATTAGATTAACAGATCATCAACATAAAATTAGGAATACTAATTTGGTGACGTAGACTTCACGTGTAATTCATGTTTTACCTAGAACCTTAGCTGCCATAAGAAATTTAAAAGAATTTATAGAATGTGTTATAAACTACATTTTTGATATATTTGAGCAATAAGCTAGCAATCATTGCTGATATTTTTTAAACAATTGAGAGTAAGAAAAATTGAAAATGCAGTGTAATTTAATTTATGAATCATATTTGATGTAACAGAACATTAAGCTAACGATTATTACTGATAATGTTTTATAATAATTGAAAAGAAGAAAAATTGAAAATTCTGTACGATTTAATTTACGTCAATGCACCGAGCAATAAAATCTAGGCAAACGTTCACTTTCTGGAACAGACTAATAGAATAGATTGAGATTTTTAAGTTCGGGAACAGAAATTTCTACTTGCAGGAACTGCCCGAATTTCAGAATACTTGAACAAATGGTTTTGCTGTTATCAGAGAGACACAGACACCCAAATTTTTCTTATTATCATTATAGAATAAAATTTTACGTTCCTCATATTATTATATACATATTATCATAGATAAATTATTATATATCCTCATATCATTAATGCAAGAAACGCATTCATTCTATAGTTATTTTATTACTTTATAACTTTCTTTTTCTCTCCTAGAAGAATGTTTGCTTTTTTTCTTAGTTCTTGTGTGTACAAATTTCCAATACTTTTATTAATACCTGTTAAATAATAGACAATTTTGAAATTTTGTTTCGCCCACTTTGTTAATATTCGCATTTTAATAATTCCTCGCAATAAAACATATAAAATACATTCCCACGTAAATCAAACTTCCTACGCTTTTCCTCAAAGTTAATATGAAAAATTATTTTGTTTTTAACTATTTATCGATTACAATTTTTAATGTTAACTGCAATTTCAAGTAATAAGATTTATTACTTGAAATTTCAGTTTGCATCAACTAGTGATGAAAATTAAATAAAATTTAATTTTCATCACTAATTGAGTTTATATGTTAGGAAAAGAGGTCTCTATAATGTCACTTGAGTGATTAAAAATTATCTAAGAATTATTATTGAAGAGAGTTATTTTAAATAATCCAAATCATCATTTAAATGACAAACGTTGCTTCTATTTATCATACTTAAAACTGATTATATGTTACTCTATAATTAGTAAAAAAAATCAAACAAATTAAGCGATAAGTTTCAATAATATTTCAACAAAAAAAAAACTATATAAATACTACATACTATGAATATGCTAATAAACACAATAAAAACGACACAGAAAAGTATGATCAAAACTACTAATTTATTCATTGTATTGAGCTTCCAAATTTATCCATTAATGTTACTTAAAAAATCTGGCATCTAAAATACTTTGATTTTAAT